ACTTCGGTCACGACAACCCCATGCAACACTACAGGCTTGTGGAAGAGTGGCTGGAAAGCTGACTGGCAGAAAAGGACCTGGGTGTATTGGTTGAAAGCCGGCAGTGTGCCCAGGTGGCCAAGAAGGCCGATTTGTATCAGAAATAGAGTGGTCAGCAGAACTAGGGAAGTGATTGTGCCCCTCTACGCAGCACTGGTGAGGCCGCACCTCAAATACTGTGTTCAGTTTTGGGCCCGTCACTACAAGAAAGACATCGAGGTGCTGGAGAGGGTCCAAAGAAGATTGGCAAAGCTGGTGAGGTGTCTAGAGCACAAGTCTTATGAGGAGTGGCTGAGGGAACTGGGGTTGTTTAGCCTGGAGAAGAGGAGGCTGAGGGGAGACCTTATCGCCCTCTATAACTACTGAAAGGAGGTTGTAGCGAGGTTGAGGTCGGCCTCTTCTCCCAAGTAACAAGGAATAGGATGAGAGGACATAACCTCAAGTTGGACCACGGGAGGTTTGGATTGGATATTAGGAAGAATTTCTTCACTGCAAGGGTTATCAAGCATTGGAATGGGCTGCCCAGGGAAGTAGTGGAGTCATCATCCCTGAAGGTATTTAGAAGATGAATAGACATGGCGCTTAGTGACATGGTTTAGTGGTGGACTTGACAGTGTTAGGTTATTGGTTGGACTTGATGATCTTAAAGGTCTTTTCCAATCTCCACAACTCTATGATTCTATGAAATTATGCAATTGGATGATATCTGTTTTTTGGGAGGAAAAAAAAATAATAACATATTTCACTAAATCTAGCACAGGCAGATCTGGAGCTCTTCAAAAAGATGATCCTTTTATAAATCAAGTATTATTTTATGCAGGAAAACAATTAGGAAAACAATGAAACAGGTATTCATTTGCAATTATAATGTCTCTGATTACAGTTCCCAAGTTGACATTTACTCAATTTAATTAAAGAAAAAAAAATTGATAATTGTATATATACTTTCTACTCCATCTTTCACAGCAGAGGGATTTAAAACATGTTCAGACCTACTATGTCCCAGTTACTATTCAATCTTATGATCTTCAATTAATAATATTTTACTTTCTGTGACTGTGGAATTAAAATGTGTTCTGGATTTACCTAAAACTGGAATTAGTTAGGTTACCTAAAACCACCAAGGATGTTGTGCATTCCGGAGAACTCACACAAATACAAGGCCAGGAGCTTCATTTACATTTAGCCCTTATGCCCTTGAACACAATAGAGTTTACGTAAATATTTAAGAAGGGCAGCCATAGACCAATTAAAGGAATGTATTTTCCAACCTTCAAACCACTGTTTTCAGGCAATACACTGAAGCTCTTCAATTAATACATATTAAATCTGTTACAGGCTCAGCAGAGTTTTAGTCTCAGGAGAGGGAAAAGCCAATGAGAGCACCCCAGAGGGAGGTCAGGCAGAGATCGCCTGTGAGATGCATGATCCACCACCCAGCTCACAGAGTGCCTGCATGAGCTGCGAGTGGCTGCAGGCTGCTCCGACAATCTGCCCAAGGAGGAGAGGCCACAACCATCCCTCTCGTTAGTCCTTTCAGCATCCTAGGAAAAGCTGTGGGCATGCTGAGAAGGCTGTGACTGTCTTTATTCTGATATTTTCTAAATAAAATTGAGGAGCAGCTGTTGTGGCAAATACATTTAACCTTTTTTTTTTTTAATCTTTAAAAATAAGAATGTTTTAAGATACTTCAGAATTTCCGTCATAATGAGAGGCCTAGTTTCAGGCTGGTCTGCACTTCATATCCACTCATTTCAGACTAGGTACTTGATGGGTTGTTTTTACATAGTGTGTAGCATGAACTATAGAAAGGTGCCGCTCATACGCATGGTAATACTACCCAGCCCTAGAAAAATAAATATGCAGATAATCAGGTTTGTTGGCCCATAATTGTGGCAGCTTCTTAAATCAGGGACAGGACTTATCCAACTATGAACTGTGAGAAAGTCTGGCTTGAAAAGAACTTGTGTGCTATTTCAGGCAGGGTCAGAGTGAGAGCAAAGCTCAGG